GGCTGCTGTTTCTGTAGGAACTGAGTTTATCCTAAGTGCTTTGTATGTTCCCTAAGTGAAAATGGATCTCCCATATGAAGTTCCTCTCTGGCTATAACTTGTCAGTCAGCAACAGTCCAACATTCACAGGATTGATCTCCCTCGCCCTTGCCGTCTTTCTCTCTGGTGCACATATACACACAGTGAAGTTGCCAGCTCAGCAGAGTTTAGTTTGAGTTTCAGCCCTTAGACTCACGATATGTTTACTTCTCCCTGTAGCAATGGAGAGAAATGAAGACCATATCTGGATAATTTAAACAGCACCCCCGCCCTGCCCCAACACACACACCTCATCTAGAATTGCTCCTACCAAAGCAGATCAAAGCTGTTTGTTAGGTTAGCCACTGTCAGTAACTGGGTTGGCTTTTCTCCTCTGCTCTGAAGGAGTTAGGCTCAGGAAGATTTGTGTTAAGAAAATTCACATATAACCAAACAGCTGACTCAAGGAGCAGACATTAAATTCTGCATCAGTGCCAGGAAAGGCTTTTGAGTTGTTACTGAGAGCCGGGGAGCTCTGGTAGTGTAATGCCTATGGCACTTGACTGCTAACCAGAAGGCTGGAGGTTCAAACTCACCAGCCACTCCTCGGATGGAAAGTTGGGCAATCTACCTCTGTAGGGATACCGCCTTGGAAACCCAAAGGGGGGTTGCTATGAGTCGGGTCCTACTCGACAGTACATAACAACAAATAACATTGTTTATATGGGCTGTATCTATCAACATTTAGCATATTTGAAATTAAAACAGAGGAAATTAGAAAATACTCATTTTTAAATGACAACAATCCTTACTGTTAACATATTTTTTATGAGAAATATTTTCTAAAACAAAAGAATTTAGTGGGGAGAGTAGGGTTACATTTTTGCAGTACTCTTTCATGTTTACCTTAATGGAAGACCTCTGGATTCTCAGATATGTTTTTAAATTTACTCTGCAGGATACATTGTTTTGATTGAATATGTGAGGAAATTCTAGCTTCACAGAGATACATAGTTGGAAAGGAAAGCGTATTTTAATAGTCTTTTCAGATAATGATGGCTTTTCTTCTTTGGTACAACACTAAAACTTGGTAAACTGTAATTTCTTAAAGGTTGTAATGTGGAATCTGAAGCCATGTAAATGAACTTTATATACTCTGTGATGCTAAAATCGATCTTTTAGTTTTAGTCAATCTTTCAGCCATACACAATTCTGTAACATTATGCACTGTTGTTGTTGTGATGTGCCGTCGAGTTGGACCTGATTCATAGCGACCCCTCCTTGGGTTTCCGAGGCAGTATCACTATGGAAGTAGATTGCCCCATCTTCCTTCCGAGGAGTGGCTGGTGAGTTTGAACCGCCAGCCTTCTGGTTAGCAGTCAAGTGCCTTAGCCACTATGCTACCAGAGCTCCTAGTTATTTAAAAATATTAACATATATAGATTTAAAAGTTGACTCATCTCATCATTAAAAAACAAAAAGAAAAACAACAACAAAAAAAAATCTGCCATCCAGTCGATTCCAACTCACAGCAAACCTACTCTGTCCTATAACAGAGTACAACCACCCCATAGATGGAAGATACCATATCAAAAAGATACTATTTTATCTTATCAGGAAAATCTTTTTAAGTTTGAGAAGCTGTCAAGTGTAAGTAGCAGATAAGTATTTTCTAGACTTCTAATTTTTTGCTCCAAAGCTGGATTTTTATCAATGGCAACAAGTACTGACAATTATTTTTGAAGGGATAGGCCCTCTTCACTCATTTCAATAATATGTCTGGCATGTATCAAGTCTGAATAACCATAGTTTGTCTGAAGCTGTTCTTTCAATCAAAAATGATATTCCAAGAAAAATGTGGCTCATTCCATTTGCTGCTCCGACAGTCACACAAGTGTTTTTCCTTAAGACATTCACCTTACTGCCACGTGGAGCAGAAATAATTAGGCATATGTCCCGTTTCATCACACAGAATATTAAAAGATACATACTCAGCAGTTGAGATTTAATAAAATTAACATTTGCTACTACTTCATCATGGGCATTCTTAGGTGTATCTGGCTTTTTTTCCTCTCCCTCATTGTAGCTGCTTGGCAGAGAATACAGTGACTTCTAGGACAGTTCGGTGTCACTACTTAGATTTGTGTAAAAACTCAAGTTTTACCCTCCATTGCTTCTGCGGCGCAATTGTCAAGACAGTGCGAAAAAAGCAAGCAGTGTGTATGATGTTGAAAATATTTTGACCTTGCAGACCCCCTGAAAGGGTGTCTGAGACCCCAGCAATCTGCAGACCACCCTTTGAGAATCACTGAGAAAGATAATAGAAATTGCATAATGTATAGCTGACACTTAAAAGTGAGCTTTTCTTCTTCCTGTTCTTTATTCTTTGTGGCTTGTGGACTGGGAGACTAGCTGATTCGAATGGACCCTGCTTTGGGGAGTTGTATTATTTTGATGAAATCCCACTAGAATTCTTTCCTAGTTCTCTGGAGCTCTGTTGCCTTGGTTCTCTCAAGGATGTTACTTTGAGGCTGAAAAGAAGCCTTGGTTTCATGTTAAATTTACTAGTGGCTTCTGTGTCTGAAGACTTAAATAATCTTTGCTTTCTAAAGTGTTGTGGACACAATAAACACATTTTTAAATATGACATTTTCCGAATCCTTTCTATCAGGGAGTCTTAACTTGGGGTTCAAAGATTCTTTGCTAGTCTGCATACGGGGTTTAGGTGACTCACTACCAGCCCCCGACATTTGACAAAAATTTCAAAAATTTTGGTTGTGTTTTGGTTTTTGTTGTTGGAGGAGGATGGTTGTTGGGGAAAGTTAATAGCCTGAGTCAGATTCTCAAAGAGGTTCTGTGACCTCTGCCCCTACAAAACAAACATTAAAAACAATGACTGTTTTAGATTGCCATTTTTATGGGGTGTTATCTGCCCACCCATTATCCTTTTCCAAACGCACTATGTTTTGGAAAGAATTTTGACAGCTATCCTCCTGGTGCTGCTCATGGTTACTTTCCACCCCTTTGGCATTTCTTGACAGTCCACATCACTTCATGCTTGCTTACAAGTCACTTCACACTGTGTCTTCTTTGCCTTCTTTCTGTGAGTCATCAGTGCAGGAGTGTGGTCACCATGCACTTTGTTTACATCGCCAAATGCAGAGTCAGTGTGTGGATAACTTCAGTGGCACCCTGGGGTGGGGGTGTATTTCAGGCCAGAGAATGCACTCAGCTAGGTTAGTGGGTTCTTTCTTGAACTATTGGGATGTGCAAATTCAGGATATTTACGCTTCAACCACAGATGTATTTCCCTCCCACACATTCTTCAGTCTGCTCCTTGGAATCCAAGTGCTGTCAAGAAAACTGCAAGGCAGTCTGTTTAGTTCCAACAGTAGCATTTTGGGAAAACTTTCCTGGTTCTGTGGGAGTAATGTGGTGACTACCACTTGCTGACAAGCAGCAGCAGAGGCTCTGCAGCGTGATGATGTACATGTTGAAGTATCGGCTCCCCCCAGGCACCCATCTCTGGCGGGGCTCTGCCGCGCTGCAGATGTGATGAGGTGGTTCTGTTGCAGTGCAGCACACCTTAGCCACTGTGAACCCCTGCAGGTGAAGACATTTATGCCAGTCAGAGCTCACGCTTCGTGCCTTTGGTGAGGATTAGATAGATAGCACTCTGAATTAAACAATGCAGTTGTTTCCCACTTCAAAAAAAGAAAAACATTTATAGTTTTTCATAGTGTATAATTTAGTTCAGTGGCATCACAGCTTTTTAAAAAAGCGTTGGCTTGTCTGACACAACGCACACACTAGCATCTAACAACTGGGAGATAACAGTGCCCCTGAAGCAGGGAGATAACACTGCAGCAGACAGGTAGAATTGGCTTACTTGTGAAGAGGCAGAAGTGTCACATCTAAATAGAACACTGACAAAGGTGGGTGTGTGTCCCACTCAGATCCAGAGATACTTCATGCAGGCATGTGTCTCTGCTTGCTACGGTGCAGTATTTTTCAGTTTAGCTTTCTGGATGGCATTTGAATTATTGGAATGCTAAATTCTATCTTCTCCTTTTCTTGCCATTTCTGGTCACTCACAGTGCATTTTCATCTGTGTATATGTACCCCAATACTCTGCCTTTGTAGTGTCACACCTGATAGTTTTATTTCTGTTCCTCTTTAAAAGAAACACACAAACCAAAACCCAGTTATCATGGAATCAGTTCTGATTCATGGTGACCCCATGTGTGTCTGAGTCGAACTGTGCTCCACAAGGTTTTCCATGGTTGATTTTTCAGAAGTAGATGACCAGGCCTTTCTTCCAAGGTGCCTCTGGGTGGACTCGACTGCCAGACTTTTGGTTATTAGCTGAGTGCTTAACCATTTGCACCACTCAGAGCTCCTTCTCCCTCTTTCCGAACAAACCAAACTCACTGCCATTGAGTCAATTCCAACTCATAGTGACCCCCTCTGGCCTTCCAAGGTGGTAAATCCCAGTCTTCCTTCCACATAGCGGCTGGTGGGTTTGAACTGCCAGTCTTCTGGTTGAGTCAAATACCTTAGGCACTACGTCATCAACACTGCCTCTTCAGCAGGTGAGAAAACATGACATAAGAGCCTTTGACTCATCTAAAAGTAGTGACCATGCTACTTTTGGGGTACATAGACCATGCTGACAGCAGTGACTTCCCGGGTCAGGTTCTCTCTGAGTCAGGGAGCACGTTCCTCCTTTCTTTGGGAAGTGCCCTTCACACTGTCAGGCCTTGGTAAATGTTTGTATATGTACTATTTAGTGAACCGACTCCTACTCAAGGACTGAATCTGGTCAAAATCTCCTCTGGGAAAATGCCACTTCTCAGTGGGAGAGGAAGGTAAGGTGAATCTTGGCTCTGCTTTCCAACCAGATGGCTTTTATGATTGCATGATAAAATGTGCAGCTTCACGTTTCTGCCTCTCGCCACTACAGCGCCCTTTCTGTTTTTAAGGAAAGAAGGATTGTCCAAGTGTGGAAGATGCAAGCAGGCATTTTACTGCAATGTGGAGTGTCAGGTAGGTGCTGGGCCACCTGGTAGGGGGGCCTGATTTCCCCTGAAGATCAGGACCCTGACGTCCCTTTCATGCTTCTCCTGGCATTCCCTAGTGCCCTCTTGTAGCCAAAGCCAGGAAGCTCAGTTGTGGAGTTGGATGTGGCTGGAGACAGGTAGCCAGTGAGACAGTAACAGTTTGGGGCCACATACAGGATCAGAAATGAGGGGCAGGATTAGTAGAGACCTAAGGAGAGCCCTTTGAGCTACAGACATGTCTATTGACATCTTGCCCCCAAGGATGCTGGCAAGAGGTAGAAAATGCCGAGATGACAAATGAAAAATGCTATCTTTAAAATAATTTTAAAAAAATTATTGTCATGGATCTGTCTTTTCATCAATCCTAGGCAGGCTTTTTTCCTGTTTGAACCCAGCCTGATTCCAGCTAGACTTAGGTGAGCATTGTCATGGTCTTTATATAGCCAGAGGGTAGCTGCACCCTAGAACTGGTGGGCCTGGAGTTATGCCTCAGAAGCCACTGTGGCCGAGGAGGCTCAGGAGGCTGGGGGTGTGTTAACCACATACCATCCTGCTTGATACTTGTGTCTCCAGTGAATCCTGTAGCAGGGGAAGCAGAAGACTGAGGAGTTTAGAGGAGGTCTTGCTAGGCTCCTTGTGGGACAAGGAGTGATGTTTCCCAAATTATGCTATTAGGCTCTAGTTTGATTAAATGTCCATAGGTGTTCAGAAAGTAAGTGCTATGTTCAAACAGTTTGGGAGAACATGATCTCTTTGCTTCAGCACCATTCAGAGTCTTTAATATACTAGTGTGCATTATGAATTTCTAAGCATTTTTATTTGACCTTTGTACAACCTACCTAGCCTTTTTTTTTTTTTTTCTTATAAGGACACCTACAATTTGAGAAAAGCAGGTACAATTTAAGATGGCTTTAAGTAACAGTAAGCATTTTCTCTATATAAGTACCTCTGTTTTTGTTGTTGTTCTTTCCATAAGTGTCTTCCTCTCTCCTCATCCTAAGCTAGCTACATCTGATTACCTGCTATTTCATTTTTTTCTTCCACACTTTTTTCTTTGTCATCTTCTATGTCTTTGGCACCCAAAAGGTCCCAGAGAACATTATTTAAAAGTGGGAGAGGTTTTTAAGCTCTGGTCTCATCTGACCATGTCAGACTCCCATCACAGTGACACCTCACCAGAATGAAGCTAGTCTGAGACATAGCTTGGGAAATTCAGACCTTCCCTTGGCCCTGAAGACCACGCACATAGTTCACTTCCCTGTGCTTCCAAAGGCAGGCTTCCATAGGTTGTCAGCTGTGTCACAGTGAGACTAAAAATGGAGCTTGTCATTGAGTTTTTGTGGAATATGTCTTGTGGGTAGAGTATCAGTGGTTAGATTCTAGAGCTCAGTGGGCCTGAGATGGTTTGGGACATGGTTTGGGACCAGGCCTGCAAGATAATTTAGCTGCTTCTACATGTAAGTTAAACACTTGTAGAAAAATTAACTCTTCATGTCCTGGCTTGTTGAACCTTAATGATCCTAGAGAAGCAAGCATAGTAAATCAAATGCAGTTCAGGTGATATAAAGTGAAATAGTAGGAAGACATGGTCCCAGCTCTGCTACTTATTAAATCTATGAGCGTGGCAAGTCACAGGACATCTCTTAGACTCAACTTATTCAAATGTAGACTGAGGAAGCCAAAGAGAAGAGCAATCAGCCGAAGGGATTAGGT